GTATTTGGTGTAATGAAATGTGTTTATGTGGTTTAAGGTTTAAAAAACACATTATTTTTAACATATATATATATATATATATATATATATATATCATATGTGTGTGTGTGTAAATATGACAAAATATGTAATTGCTACATGTTGGGATGTACCAATATCTAAAATCATTATATCATTATATACATACTATAAATGTATAAATTTTACCCGCTTTTTAACTTTGTAAATGCATTTTTCCCAATAAATTGTCATTCTGATATGATATTGATGTAATTTGGCTTATACTAATTGTCTATTTTTTCTTTTGATTTGTTATTGTTCAGTTTTTATGATTGGCAATACCATCATGTTTTTTTCTTTCTATGTATACATTACCTGTATAACCTGATATTGTGCTGTTAATGTAAAAAAAAAAAATGGACCCATACCTGCTTATATGCTTATCTGACAATGTTGTGCATCCATGAGTTTTAACATGGCACTTCATTAACATTAATCTATTTACATATATACTTAATAATTAATATGATATTTGATATTGAATCATACGTTTAAATAAACTTAATATACACCAGTGTAATTTGAGAATCATTGATATTCTAATATAGTTTTTGTTTATTTTGAATCAATTTTATTTTGAAATTTTGTGTTTGCATTATAATTTTAGCTAAAGTTTTAGTAATTTTTTGTGTTTCTGTAATCTTATATTATTATAATATTACTTATTATATATGTTATATATGTTTTATTTTAAGTTATTTTAGATTTTTTCAGCGTAAACTAAACAAAAATGAGAAATGTTGCCTTGGCAACTAGATGAAATGAAATAAATGTAAGTTTATTATTATTTTATTTCAGTTAATGTTTATTTTATTTCAAGTAATAAAAATGTTTTTTATGGTTTTAGTTTTTTTAACGATAGTAACCCTGATACACAATGTTTTATAAAAAATATTAATAAATAATATTAATAAATAAATAAATAATAGCTAATAAAAACAAAATAAATAAAAATATAAAAAATGTAAATTTATTTATAGACATTAATTATTATTTTTAATTAGTTGTATTTTTTTACTTTATTCTCATTACTCTTAAATACACTAATTACTTTTACTATAATATAATGTAGCATTTTTAACATGCTGTTGGTCATGATGCAGTTAGGTTGTGTAGAAGTGTGAGGCTTATGAATCAACACAAATGAAGAATGTTCTCTTATTTCTCCCTCGTAATGACTGCGGCGTTTGCATGCTCATGTTCTCTGGCAGCTCTATCACAGGAGAGATGGATGAGGTTGACGCATTCAGGATGAAGCGCCCCACTGACGACACCGTATCTCTCGCCTCCACCACACCGGAGTCTCTCATCATTGAAGGTGAGGGCTTGGTTGAGAACATCGAGAACACCCAGAACGTATGATAAAGCGGCATGGGTAATTTATGATGGGGTTTTTTTTTAAGTATTGAGCAACACTTTGTACTGAGTTTTATCATTACTGTGCACAGATGCGTATTACGCCACAGTACGAGGGGAACTGGAAGCCATCGCGCAAGATTTCGAGGTGGAGTCCTGGAGTCTGGCTGTGGATCAGCACTTCTTGAAGAAACATTCGAAGGAAATGATCAAGAGACAGGATGTTATATACGGTTAGAGTTGTTTAGCTACCCACACTGCTTTGAGAACTTCGAAAAACTGTTTCCAGATCTTCTCTAATGCGTTTCCTGTCTCCTCCAGAGCTCATCCAGACGGAGATACACCACGTGCGGACACTCAAGATCATGCTCCGCGTTTACGCTCGAGACCTGCGGGAGGCACTACAGCTGGATGACAGGAAGCTGGACTGTCTGTTTCCCCGGCTGGACAGCCTGCTGGAGCTGCACAGCCTCTTCCTGTCCCGCCTCCGGGAGCGTCGCGCAGAATCCCTGCAGCCGGGCAGCGATCGCAACTATGCCATCCATAAACTCTCAGATATCCTTATATCCCAGGTACATGCCCTAAATTTAGCACCATACTTCCTGCTTCACACTTCCTGACCTACATTTCCTGCTTCCTGTTGTCAACCTTTTGCATTTCCAGTCTTTTGGTTCTTGCTTCAAACATCCTGTTTTTGCCCCACACTTCCTGCCGTTGGCATACTTCCTGCTTCACACTTCCCTACATTTCCTGTTCTCACACAATTTCCCTAAACTTCCTCCATCACGTTTCTTGTCTTACTCTTCTTGCTTCAAACATCCTGTCGTTACATTTCTTGCCCTACACTTCTTTGCTCACATATCCTGTTTTTACACTTTCACCCCACAATTCCTGCTTTTATAATACTTCCTGCTTCACACTTCCTTCCCTATACTTCCTTCTTCAAACTTCCTGTCCACCCCACTTTTTCCCAACATTTCCTGCTGTTGGAATACCTCCTTGATTCATATCACCTTCCCTACATTTCCTGTTTTTTACATATCCTGTCATACAATTTTTGTCCTTAACGTCCTGCTTCACATTTCCTGTCTTATGCGTCCTACTTCAAACATCCTGCTTCACATTTCCTGGCCTACACTTCCTGCTTCACCTTTCCTGGCCTACACTTCCTGCTTCACATTTCCTGTCTTTCGCTTCCTGCTCCACACATGCTATTGTCACATTTCCTGGCCTACACTTCCTGCTTCACATTTCCAGGCCTACACTTCCTGCTTCACATTTCCTGGCCTACACTTCCTGCTTCACATTTCCTGTCTTTCGTTTCTTGCTTCATACATGCTATGTTGGACAGGAAGTGTGAAGAAGAAAATATTGAGAAGGAAGTAAGAAACAGGAAGTTTTGTTTGTGTCTGGTTTTAGTTTTCCGGAGAGCTTGGAGAGCGAATGAAGGAAAGTTATGGGGATTTCTGCAGTCGGCACACTGAAGCGGTCAACTACTACAAAGAGCAACTGCAGAGCAACAAGAAGTTCCAGAACCTCATGAGAGTATGTTGAGATCTTATGTGGCTAACATTTGCTAGGTTGTCCTAAGCGCTGCTTTAAATAATTTTTCCTCTTACTGTGTTTCAGAAAATCAGCAATCTGCCAATAGTGCGGCGGTTAGGCGTTCCAGAGTGTATCTTGCTGGTGACGCAGCGAATCACAAAGTATCCTGTTCTTCTGGAGCGCATCCTGCACAACACAGAAGGTTGGTCGTTGCAGTCCAGTGAAACGATCCAGATATTATGGATTTGCAAGGTTCTAAACGCTTTCTTCTCATTGCAGCCGGGACAGAGGAACATGAAGGATTAGCACAGGCTCTCACTCTAATCAAAGACGTCATTGTTCAGGTGGATGCCCAGGTCAGTCTCTATGAGAAGGAAGCACGGCTCAGGGACATCGGCTCCAAGGTGGAGCCCAAGTCCCTTGGGAAAATCAAAGATGGACGCGTTTTCCGGAAGGAGGACCTTTCTCAGGGGCGCCGCAAGCTCTTGTATGAGGGCATGGTCAACTGGAAAGCTGCATCTGGTCGACTTAAAGGTATTATGAGAGCATTCATTCCCATGCATAAGTACGGAGCCCATCAAGGGATATCGTTCGTGTTTCCCCAAAAATGTTTTGCAACAGTTTTGCCAAAGAACTCTAAAGCATCAAAATATATTTTTTCCTCCATTTTTTTTTTTTTTGTCCCCCTTAGGGGTTCCATATACATAAGTTTGTTTGGTGCACAATTGAAGTTTGTGATTCTTCTGTTGCAGATATTCTAGCTCTCCTTCTTACTGATGTTATCATCTTGTTGCAAGAAAAGGACCAGAGATACGTGTTCTCCACTGTGGTAAGTGCGAGAACTTTGTTTTTGGTTTATACAAGAAGAGAAATTGTTTATCTTAACGCACTCATCTCTGCTGTTTTTCTGCTAGGACAACAAGCCATCCGTTATTTCACTGCAGAAGTTGATCGTCCGTGAGGTGGCGCACGAGGAACGGGCCATGTTCCTCATCTGTGCCTCGTCAAACGAACCTGAGATGTACGAAATCCACACGGCCTCAAAAGAAGATCGCAACACGTGGATCACCCACATCCGTCAGGCAGTGGAGAGGTCTGTGTCAGACGGTACTCACATTTGTGTCTGTACTTCTCTGCATTGTTTTTTAAATGTTCCTCCTCGGTTCCTGTCCATCAGCTGTCCACATATAGAAGAGAGATTGTTTAGCGAGGAAGAGGAAGCCAGAGTCGCCCGGTTCCGAGAGTTTCAAGGTAAAACGTAGCTTGTTTCGTAATGACATTCATGGTTTTTCTGCTCATTTTGATGTTGTGTGATGGGTTTTTTATGAGGTTTGAAGGATCTTTTATCACTAGAGGGCGCAGTTGTGTTTTCATACTGAAACCTTGCTAATCCTTTTGTCAAAAAGAAGTATTTTTAGTGCAAATGCTTATTATATTAATATTATTAAATATATTATATATACTATAATTTACTACGCTATATATGATAGTTAATATTATTATATATAATTTTACTTTATAATGATCATATTAATA